CAAAATAGCAACAAAGAAAATAAAGTACCTTGGAATATATTTAGAGGTAAGAAGACCTCTACAGGGAGAATATGAACACTGAAGAAGAAATCAAGGACTGTAAACAATGGAAGAATATAAACATGCTTATGGGTTGGCAAGAATCAACTTGTTGAAAATATCTATACTACCAAAGTGACCTGCAGAGTATGCAATCCCTATCAAAATACATAATACTATATTCCAGATATAGAAAAAATAATTTTACGCTTCATATGGACCCAGAGAAGACCCGCATAGCAAATCAATCTAAGCCAATAAACAAATAGGGGTTCAATCTAACAATTCAAATATACCTCAAGGCTACAGTCATTAAACAGGCTTTGTACTGGCACAAGAACAGGGACATTGAACAGTGAAACAGAATGAAACCCGATATACCATCCTCATCATAGCCAACTAATCTTCAACAAGCAAGAAAACAGTACCTGGGGAAAGAATCGTTTTCATAAATGCTGGGAAACTGGTAGCCAGAGGTAACGAACAAGACCATACCTTTACCTCTCAGAAAAATCAACTCACGCTGAGTACAGACTTGAACCTTAGGTGTGAAATATTAGAATTTAGAGGAAATGTGGAATATCTTCTAGACATTGGCTAGGCAAGAATTATGAGAGAACCCCAAAGGCAATCACACAGCAACAAAATTTTAAAATGGGACTGATCAAATAAAAGTTTCTGTGCAGCCAAAGAAACTGTCAAGAGAGCAACAGACAACCCACAGAATGGGGAAATTTTGCAACGCACACATCTGATAAGGCTGATACACTAGAACTTATTTAGAACTCAGGAAATCAGTGAGAAAAAATCAAATAACCCCTCAAAAATGGCAAAGGACATGAAAGAAACGTTTCAAAAGACAGACAGAATTGGCGACAACACATGAAAAGATGCTCACATCTCTATCATCAGGGAAATGCAAATAAAACCCAATGAGAATACTTACTCCCAGTGAGAATGGCCTTCTATCAAAAAGTCCCCAAACAATAAACTCTGGCGTGGATGCGGAGAGAGAGGAACACTCTATACAGCTGATGACTGCAAACTATTTCAACGCTCCGTGGAAACCATATGGAGATACCTCTAAAGTGATACAAATAGATCTACCTTTGATTCAGCAATTCCACTACTGGGCATCTACCCAAGATAGCCATCACTACTGAAAAGACGTCTGCCTCAATGTTATAGGCAGCACATTACAATTGCAAAGCTGTGACAACCCAAGTGCCCACAATTCATGAGTGGATTATAAATGTGGTATAGTATACCATGGAGTACTACTCAGCTTTAAGAAACAGTGGTGATATAGCACCTCTTGTATATCCTGATAGAGCTGGAACCATTCCTAAGTGAAGTATCTCAAGAATGGAAAATAAGCACCCATGTACTCACCAGCAACTGGTGTTAACAGATCAACACCTACAGTGGATAGATAGATAACATTTATTGGTGTTGGCGGTGAGAGGGGAGGAGGAAGATGGGTATACGAAAACAATGAGTAAGATTGCAACGTTCTTCGAGCTCTGACTCGGGGGGTATGGGCAATATATGTAACCTTAACTTCTCTATAATTGGCAAATATGCTAATATATATATATATATATATATTATTATATATATATATATAAGTACTAAAGAAAACCCTAAAGACTCTCTCAAGAGTCAGTGAGGCCGGCGCGGTGGCTTCACGCTGTATCCTAGCTCTGGGAGGCGAGGCGGCGGATTGCTAAGGTCAGGAGTTCAACACAGCCTAGCAAGCGAGACCCGTCCTTACTATAAATGAAAGATTAATTGGCAGACTGATATATATATAAAATAATTAGCCGGCTCCGGTGCGCATGCCTGTAAGTCCCAGCTTACTCGGAGGCTGAGCGAAGGAGCCGAGCCCAGGAGTTTGAGGTGCTGTGAGCTAGCTGACGCCACGGCACTCCTCTAGCCTGACAACAAATGAGAACTCTGTCTCAAAAAAAAAAAAACAAGTCAGTGAGAATAATTAATGAACTCAGTAAAGTTGCAGGACACAAACCAACATCAAAATCAGTGTGCTCCTCTAATATCAACACTACTGAAAAGGATGTCAAGAAAACCATACCATTTACAATTGTTACAGAAATAATATAAACAAGTTCAACCAAGAGTTCTCTACACCTGGAAACTTTAAACATTGATGAAAGAATTTGAAAAGATAAAAATAAAAGGAAAGATACTGTGTTCATGAATTAGAAGAATAATATGGTACTGCTGACTCCCATAACTAAGTTATTATATCCATTTGAAATATACCCAATTCTTAACAAAAATTTTTAAAATCATAAATTTATATGAACCACAAAAACCCCAAATAGGCAAGGCAATCTAGGGTGGGCCACTAATAAAGCTAGAGACATCATACTACACTGACTTCCAAATAGACAACAAAGCTATACGTAAAAATAGCAGTGGCACTGGCTTTATGTCAGACTAAGATGATGGAATGAATAGAGACCCAGAAATAAATTCACACATCATAGCCAATTGCTTTTCAAAAAGGGGCCGATAATGCACAATGGGAAGGATAGTGGTCTTCAACAAATGTGTTGGAACACATGCAGGAGAATAAAATTGGACCCTTTTTCCACTATAAAAAATACCTCAAAATGGATTAAAGACTTAATACTTAAGACCCAAAACAACAAAACTACTGGAAGAAAAAACACAGGGGAAGATTTCATAGACATTGATCTTGGCAATGAACTTTTTAATACGATGTCGAAAACTCAGGCAACAAAGGAGGAAACTAGACAAGTTGGGATGACATCAAACTAAAAATCTTCTGCACAGCTAAGGAAACAATCAAGAATGAAGAGACACCTAAAGAATGGGAAGAATATTTATCAGTATAAAATCTCATAAGGGATTAAAATCCAAAATATAAAGGGAACTCAAACGCTCAATGGCAAGAAAACAATAGTCCAATTTTAAAAATGGGTGAAAACATCTAATATATATATTTATCAACAATACAAATGGCCAAAGGGTATAGAAACAAATGCTCAAATCACTAATCATCAGAGAAATTGCAATCAAAACTACAAAGGAATATTACCTCATTCTATTGTGAATAGCTATTGTACAAAAAGAAAAAAAATACAAACATTGAGGAGGTATGGGGAAAAAAGAATGTTTACCTATAGTTGTGTGCAGGAATGTAAACTAGTATAGTTGATCAGAGGAACAAAAGGAAAATTTTGACAAAATTAAAATAGAATATCATATTGGTACCGAAGAATCAACTTTTGGGTAAAGCATCATATTCGAAGGAAAGCGTCAGCACTGTTGCACAGGATTATCTGCACTCCATTGTTTATTGTGCACTATTCAAATGAGCCAAGAATAAGGAAATGACTAAATGTTCATCAATGATGAGTAGATGGAAGAAAATTAGTATGTACACACAAGGAATACTACTGACATCGAAAAAGGAGGAAACTAGACCCATAGCTGAACTTTAAGGACGTTATGTAAGTGAATTAAGCCAGACACAGAAAGGCAAACACCTCATAATCCCATACTTATGGAGCATCTTAAAAAAAATAATATCATAGAAGTTAAGCATAGATGAAATTGCCAGAGAATGGAGTGGTTAGATTGGAGGAGACTTGGAGGGACATTGGTCAAAAGATACATGATTACACTGGTGGAAGAAGTTCAAGAGGTCTGTTGTACAGCAGGTTAAAGATGATATATTGTATATATTGTATATATTGTATTCTGGAAAAATGCTAAGAGAATGGCTATTAAGTATCCTCACCACAAAAGTTCTAACTATGTGCGATAATGTATTTCTTAATTAGCTGGTTTTAACTATTTGAAATAGTTTATATACTTGAAAACATTATGTTATACATGGTAAACACACACAATATCATATATCGATCTAAAAAAATAGACGTTAAAAATATTTCACTGAACTTGAGCCCTCACTAAATTCAGAACATTATACAAGATAGAGTAGGGGGTAATATATTCTTGAAATTATTACACAGATGTTACCAATACTAGTGGGGAGACTGGATGAGGTATAGACAGGTTCTCCCGGGATTGTTGTTACAACTGCATGTAAATCAACAACTATCTCAAAATTTAAAAAATAAAATCAATACACACAACTGCCTTATTTTAATGGACAGTTTTAGACATTTACATAATAGAAGGAGATAAAGAATACAAGTGAAGCGATGTCTTGCAGAATCTAAGCGAACAGATGGAGAAACATGATACAAACATACACGATAGCAAAATAGCAGCATAAGAAACCGTGGATCTTATAGTTACCCCAACTATACAGGTAAGTTGCCTGCCAGGGTTTCAGGATATAAAACATGACCCAAAGTTTGAAACATCCAGGGAAAGCCATTACAAGAGTGGAGAGGTCACCGTGGTCTTACAAGAGCTGACTCATTCCTCATTGCTCAAACATGAGCCACAGAATAAGGCCCTTTCCTCTTGTCCCAGGCCAGATGTCCCACTGAGCAGAGGGGTTTTCCTCCATGCTGAATGAAGAAATGCAGAACCAGAAGTGTGACTGACCAATGGCATTCTGGTAAGGGGTGCACAGGGGAAGAGTGACAGATGTATTTCCAAATGCAGAGGGTCACATGAGAGCCCTATGTGGAGGAAGATGGAGGAAATGTGGTCTAGAAGATGCCATCAAGGTGTGAATCAGGAGGACAGGCAGATGAGAGAGAACTTATTACATATGGACAAGAAAATTTTCTTTCCAACAACTTTAAGGCATTAAATGGACAAACATTATTGTGTAATCTGATAATTACTTAGCTGTTAAGTAAACAAAAACAAGGAAAATGTGTTGGCAACAGGAAAACAGGGCAGTATAAAAGAGGCTGTGGCCCGAGGAGACTTCCAAACTCCAGAACCTGATTCTTCTGGAAACCAAACCAGAACCTACATCCTCTGACACCATGGTCAACTCCTGTTGTGGCTCCGTCTGCTCTGAGCAGGGCTGTGGCCAGGAGACCTGCTGCCAACCCAGCTGTTGCCAGACCACCTGCTGCAGGACCACCTGCTGCCGCCCCAGCTGCTGTGTGTCCAGCTGCTGCAGGCCCCAGTGCTGCCAGTCTGTGTGCTGCCAGCCCACCTGCTGCCGCCCCAGCTGCTGCATCTCCAGCTGCTGCCGCCCCACCTGCTGCCAGACCACCTGCTGTAGAACAACCTGCTGCCGCCCCAGCTGTTCTAGCAGTTCTTGCTGCTGAGTGTCCTGCTATGGATCCATGGACATTCTTTCCTCTTCCTCTGTCCAGGAAGAGATCATCTATTCCCGGATCATGTGGACTTACCAACAGAACCATGGCCTGATTTGGAAAACCCCAGTCTCTATATTATAATTTATCCTTTTCTCTATATACGTTTTATTATTAAATGAATCAGAATTTATAGTCAGACACTGCATCATATTGTTTAGAATTCTTAATTCTGTTTCAAAATGCAGGAGTCTTTAAATGTTCCCCTTCTAGATTTTTTATTTCTGATGTTTCTCTGTCAAATCCATTTCCATGTGGAATTGCTTGGTGTTCCCCAATAAACCTTTTTAGCATTCAAAGGCACCAAAAATTGTTCATCTCTCATTATCTTATTAATGAAATGGTGTATGCATATTTCGGTTTCTTTTTCTGCACAACACTGGAGCACACGTTTTCAGGAGACCATATAATTTGGGCATTTATTGAAACCTTAAAATCTGTACCCCCATAATATGCCAAAAAAAAAAAAAAAAAAAAAAAAATTACATTGCATTTTCCAATGAGATATTTACCAAAACCTGAATTCAACCCCACAGCAGAAATAGGAAAATGCCTAAAGAGAGGCATCTCTGGACTATAAAAACTATGGAATACAAGAGGCACTTAGAAGAAAGCACTCTATAGACTACATTCCAGGAGTTGCTTTAAATTAATATAAATAGAAGAAGCTCAGTATAAAGAGTAGCTCAGGGACTTGGAAATAGACAGAAGTCGTGCTGATTTCTCACTGTGCTTCATAGCAACTATGATCCTGGACACATTATTTAATCCTCTCAACCAAAGTTTATTTTTCTCTAAAGTAAGAATTACAATACCATGTATTGAGGTTGTCATAAAAATTCAGTGAGATAAAGATGCCATTAGAAAAATAAAGCATGCTCTCTTTTACCTTCCCATAGCTTCATTTGTATTTTTGAAAATAAGTATAGATTCATAGGAAGTTCAAGAAAAAGAACAATAAAGTCCCATGTGCTATTCCCCCAGCTTCCCCCAGTGGTCACATCTTATATAACTGTAGAGGTTGAAGTCGAACCTCAGAAATTGACATTGGTAGAATCCACAGTACTTGTTCAGATTTTACCAGTTTACATACACTTCTGTGTGTGTGTGTGTGTGTGTTTTGTGTTTTGTGTTTGGCATACTTAGAAGGAATGGAATCATTCCTAGAAACGTACAACCGACTAAGACTGACTCATGAAAATAGAAAATATGAACAGACCAATAATGAATTAGAAGATTGAAGCAGCAATACAAAACCTCACAACAGAGAAAAGCCCAATAGTAGATGGCGTCACAGGTGAAACTACCAAACATTTACAGAAGAATTAATGTCAATTCTTATCAAACCCTTCCAGAAACATTGAAGAGGAGGCAACACTTCTGAACTCCATTTTATGATGCCAGTATTACCCTTTACCAAAGCCAGATAAGGACACTGAAAGAAAATTACCAGTCAATATCCCTTAAGAATCCAAATGGAAAAATACTCAACAAGATCCTAGCAAATCTCATTGAACAACACATTAAAAGATCATTCACCATGATTAAGTGGGATTCATTCCGGGATGCAAGGATGGAGGTTCAAGATACATAAATGATACATCACATTAACACAGTGAAGTACAAAAAGCATATGATCATTTCAGTAGATGCAGAAAAGCATTTTATAAATTTCACCATCTATTCATGATAAAAATCTCAGGGCAAATTAGGTATAGGAGGAATATATCTCAACACAATAAGGGCCACATATGACAAACCCACAGCTAACATGAGACTGAATGGGGGAAAGCTGAAAGCTTTTCCTTTAATATCTGGAACAAGACAAGGATGCTCACTCTCACCACTTGTATTTAACATTGTATGGTAGGTCCTATCCAGGGTAATGAAGCAAGACAAACAGATAAAAGGCACCCAAATTGGAAAGAAGAAAAGATAAATTGTTTGCAGACAATATTATCTTATATATAGAAAACCCTAAGACTTTACCAAATTCATTTGTCAATTCAAGGAGTCTTTTGGTTGAATCCTTAGAGTTTTCTAGGTATAATATCATGTCATCAGTGAAGAGTGAGAGTTTGATCTCTTCTGCTCCTATTTGGATGCTGTTAATTCCGCTCTTTTGTCTGATTGCTCTAGCAAGGACTTCCAGCACTATGTTGAATAGAAGTGGAGATAGTGGGCAACCTTATCTTGTTCAGTTCTAAGTGGAATGCTTTCAATTTTCCCCATTCAGTATGATATTGGCTGTGGGTTTGTCATATATGGCTTGTATCATTTTTAGGTAAGCCTCATCTATGCCTATTTTGTTGAGCGTTCTTATCATAAAAGGGTGTTGAAATTTGTCAAATGCTTTTTCTGCGTCTATAGAGAGGATCATATGGTCTTTGTTTTTGCTTCTGTTTATATGGTGAATTCATTTATAGATTTGCATATGTTGAACCATCCCTGCATCCCTGGGATGAAGCCCACTTGGTTATGATAGATTATTTTCTTGACAAGCACCTGGATTCGATTGGATTAGGATTTTGTTGAGAATTTTTGCATCTATATTCATAAGAGATATGTCTATAGTTTTCTTTTTTGTTACATCCTTCTGTGTTTTGGTATCAGGTTATGTTCCTTCATAAATGCGTTGGGGAGATTCCATCCTTCTTGATGCCGTGAATAATTTCTGCAGGATAGGCACCAGTTCTACCTTGTAGGTGTGGTAAAATGGTGTGAACACCATCTGTTCCAGGACTTTCTTATCAGAGGCATTCATATACGCCAACAACAGTACAAGAGAGAACAAATCAAGACTAATTCCCTTCAAAATAGCAACAAAGAAAATAAAGTACCTTGGAATATATTTAAGGAGTAAAAGACCTCCTACAGGGAGAATATGAAACACTGAAGAAGGAAATGCAAAGGAGTAAACAGATGGAAGAATATAACCATGCTTATGGGTTGCAGAGATCACCA